ATTTCCTGGGGGTAATTGGCTACATCACACCTGTATAGTTTAGGGCAAGTGAAAAGCAATTGATGGAGATGTTCACCATTGTTGGTGACGGGGAACCTTCCTGAAGAGAAGACTGGTCCCTGACCACTTTTATGTCCCTAGCCCAGAATCTGACACACAGAGGTGACATTTGTTGTTCCTATTCCCACCTCATTGTTCCTCATTGGCGCCTGGCTAGATAAGGCTAAGGGGTCGACTCAGTCCTCAGAGTTAGGGTCAGAACTTGAGACATTCCACATAAGAACAGTTTTCTTTTCTGTCATCAGTGTGGTGGATTCCAATGGAAAGACCTTTTTGCTTTTGTGAACTAAGGCTGGATTTTCTTCCTTTAGCACCAGCTAGACTTGAACTCACTTTGTAGACCAGGCTGGCCTTGAACTCACAAAGATCCGCCTGCCTCTGCCTCCCATGTGCTGGGACTAAAGGTGTGCACCACCATGCCTGGCTTGATTTTCTTCCTTTTAAAAATTTTTTAAAACTTGGGCCTGGAGAGAGGACCTAGGTTCGAGTCCCAGCACCCACCTGGTGGCTGCAAACCGTCCTTAACTCCAGTTCCAGGGGAATTTGAAGCCCTCTTCTGACCTCTGAGGCATTGCACAACATGGGTGCACTCACATACATGCAGGCAATACACTCATACACATAAAATAAAAATAATTTAAAAAAATTTAAAAACTTATTTACTTGTGATGTGTGCGTGTGCGTGTGTGTGTGTGTGTGTGTGTGTGTGTGTGTGTGTGTAGCTCAGAGGACAACCTGTGGGACTTGGTTCTTTCCTTCTACCATGTGAGTCTCGGGGATTGGACTCAGGTTATCAGGCTGGGAGGAGGCACCTTTGTCCACTGAGCCATCTTGTGATCCCTGGACTTTCTTTTTCCTTTTCTTCTATTTTTGGCAGGAGGCACAAGGAGAGAGGTGTGGTTTTGAGACAGGGTTTCATGTAGCCCAGGCTGTGACTGGATTTTCTTTTACTGCTGATGGAAAGAGTCCTTGCCTCTGAATAAATGAATGGTTTCTTTTTATTATTTTTATTTATGTGTATTTGTCTGTGTAAATGAATGCCACATGTATGCAGGTGCCCACAGAAGTCAGAGAGGGCTTCAGATTCCCGGAGCTGGAGTTAAACAGACCATTCTAAACTGCCCAGTATGGGTGCTGGGAACTGATCTTGAACTAAGCAAGTGCTCTTAAACTCTGAGCTGTCTCTCTAGCCCCCACCCCATTTTTTGTTTGTCTTAAGTTAAATTTCACTGAAGTACTTTGCACTGAGATGAGACTGGACTGGACATGGAGTCTCCATTTGCGAAGTGTGTTTCACTTTGCAGTTTGGAAACTATTATTTTTTACTTTGGCTCCCCAATTATCTGGGATGTCTGAAGCCTCTACGAGACATGCATTTCTCTCTCTCTCTCTTTTTGAATTAGTGTATATTAATTAAACAAAACAATAAGGTTAATACATGTGTACATGTATTTAAAATACTTAGATCAGTTTTTTTGTTTTGCTTTGTGTTTTGGAGACAGATCTTACTATGTAGCCATGGCTGATTTGGAACTTACAGAGATCTGCCTACCTTTAGCTCCCTCTTGGGAGTAGGCATGTACCTCCATGTCCAGGATTTGATCAGAATTTTTAAAAGAAATTGGCATATTTCTCTTATAAATTGAACATTTCCATGCCACTTATCCTATACACATTTTTTTTAAACAGGGGCTCCTGTATCTCAGGTTGACTTTGAACTTGGTATACAGCAGAGGCTAACAGGAACTTCTGATCTTTCTGCCTTTGCTTCCCAAGTGCTGGAATTACACTTTTACTGTCCATTTTATTTTTTGAGACAGGGTCTCTCACTGAACCCGGAGTGCACTGATTAGCTAGGCTGGCTGACATACACAGACACACAGACACGGACACACACACATACACACACACAGACACAGACACAGACACACACACACAGACACACAGACACACACACACAGTGTAATCCTCTGGATTAGAGAAACACCACTGTGCCTGGCATTTTACATTGGTTCTAGGCATCCAAACTTAGGTCCTCCTGCTTATGGACAAGTACTTTATCAACTGAGCCATCTCTCCAGCTCCTAACTTTGTGGTACTTGATTAGTCAACCTCTTGCTGCTTACTGGAAACAACTGTCTTTTTTTATTTTTTAATTAAAAATTTTTTGATTTATTTTATGTGTGTGAGTGTTATGCCTGCAAGTATGTATGTAGTAAGTTCATCCCTGTTGTATAGTGCCTTCAGAGGACAGAAGAGGGCGTCAGATTCCCTGGAACTGGAGTTAAAGATGGTTGCTAGCTGCCATGTGGGTGCTGGGATTCGACTCAGGTCCTCTGCAAGAGTGTGCTTAAACCACCGAGCCATCTCTCTAGCCTGTACCACTCTTTTTTCTATCTATAAAACCATCAATAGTGCTTACCTCCTAAGGTTACTGAGAGGATTAAATGAGATGGTATGGTATTCAGCCTGCTCTGTCTGTCTCTGTCTCTGTCTCTGTCTCTCTGTGTCTCTGTGTCTCTGTCTCTCTCTCACACACACACACACTTTCTTTTTTTTTGAGACAGGGTATGTCAAGTAGCCTAGGTTGGCTTTGTCATATAGCCTCATTCTTAGAAGGCAAGCATGTCACTGACTGAGCTATTATTTTGTCAGCTCCTTTACTGAAGAGTTTGTTTTTGTTTTTTGAGACAGGGCCTATCTATGTAGCCCAGGCTGGACTGAACTCTATCCTTAAGTCTTAGTCTCTGGAGGGCTGTAATTACAGCCCTCCACCACTCTGTATACCACCACTGTGTATGGCTCTTGCTGAAGACTCTAATTCCAGGGTGAGGACACCAGGGTGGCATGAAGCAGCCTCATAGGAGGGGCTGGTATCCTGAGGGTCATCTGAGACGGATTTAAGAGAGGGATACCACATCATCTCAACAACAGCATCCTTTGGGACACGACAGATAGTTCAAATACATTTAAATGCACAAGTCACACTGATTTTATTTTTTTGAGACAGGGTCTCACTATACCCCAGCTGGCTTTTAACTCACAGAGATCCACCTGCCTCTGCCTCCTGAGTGCTGGGATTAAAGGCATGCACCACCACACCCGGCTTGTAAATCACGCTGATTCAAGTAACCAAAGATTTTGAAACACAAGGGACAAACAGGTGACAATATCATGTGTGCTTTTTTTGTTGTTAATTCATTAAAATCACAGGTTCTGGTGCTATCTTTGGAGCCATTGCTGTTTGAAGTACTGTGCTAACAAGAGTAAGCAATATTTTGAAAAATCTACAAATGTAATGTGCTATGAAATGTCTGTGATTGTCATTGGGGACAAGCTGTAGGAATGGCTAATATCATGTGGCTGCTTGCCTAAACTCACATGGAAGGTAATACTGAATTTCAGTAGGAGATAAGAAGAAATAAAAATCAAGTTGTTTCCCCCACTCAAGGACTCTTTGGTTTAAGAGCCTCTCCTTCACATTTTATGAAAATGTCAACTGAGGTTCAGCCTGGTGAAGCATGCTTTTAATCCCCACTCCTGGAAGGCAGAGGCAAGTATATATCTGTGAAATCAAGACCAACCTGGCCTACATATCAAGTTTCAGGCCAGCTGGGGCTACAGGGACACCCTGTCTCAAGAAACAAAACAAAACTGTACAAACAACAAAAACCACTTTGTGTATATTAAATTCATCTAGAAAAGTGAATAAAAATACTTCAATTTGAATAAAAAAGGAAGCAGTTTGTAATCGCCTGTAATCCCAGGAAGGAGGGTTAGCCTTGGCTATATAGTTACATAGTGAGTTTCAAGCCAGCTTGGGTTACATACAGGGTGAAATGTTGTCTCAAGAAAAAAGAAAAAAAGAAAGAAGAACGGAAAGAAAAGGAAAAGCAAGAAAAAAAAAAAAAGGATCCGTATGAAGGGGTCTTGGCTCAGGCTTTTCTGTCCCCCTGGTGGCTGGAGCAAGTAGGGTCACATCAGCACCTACTAAAAAACCGCCTGAATTCAGTTCACAGTGCGCTAGTAAAAACACTGGCTGCAAGGTGGGCTGCCTTTCCGAGACCCAAATTTTGTCCATAATCAGCTGTGTGACCCCCTAGTCTGTCTCAAATACCACAGATTCTTCCTTTCCTCGTAATGGGGCTTCGGACTCCGATCGCCATCCCGGATTTCCAGGTTCCTGCTTTTCACACGGGCCTTATTCTGCATAATAGTTTACAGTTTACCAACCACTAGGTGCTGACCGCAAAATCACCTGGAGCAACAGGTGATGGACGTGGAGACCTGCGAAGGTGGATGCGCAACAGCTGCGCCCGGAGCGGGATGGCTGCGCCGGGTGAGCACAATCAACCCGGGTCAACGATAGCAACGATCTGAGCAATCAACATTGCCCTGGATGACAGGAGTAGCATGGGGCTAGCTAGAAGTGGTCTCTGGGCTCAGCTTCGTGCCCAGCCACTGCGGTCCACCGCTGCTACGCTTTAGAAATGAGAACTCCACGAGAAACACGTGGGAGAGCCTTTGCCCACGGATGCAGTGGGCGTGGCGCGGGGTTATTCGCTCAGATCATTCGAGATTTTAGTGAAGAAATTGTTCTCAAAAGTGATGAAAAGGGAAGGACCGATCCTCCTCCGACCGCGGCAGGACTCGAACCTGCAATCTTCTGATCCGAAGTCAGACGCCTTATCCATTAGGCCACGCGGCCGCCAACAGCAGTGTTCTTTTGCTTCGCTTAAACAGTCAAAGCGAAAGCCTACTGACTCGGGACTGATCCATCTGCTATTTCCAGAGGGGAGATCGGAACTTGGCTTCTAGGGAGCACCCACCCGGAAGTCCCTCTTCCACCCCCGCGGGCCGACCGCCCCATTGACGGCCTTCTTATTGGCCACTCTGGGAGTCTCCCGCCTGCCTCTCGGGTAGCCGCGGGACCCAGATAGCGCAGACGGGAAGTTGCTGCTGCCAGCAGGGCCATACGCCACCCGGAGGCTGCATAGGCCGCGCGGAGGGGACGCCGCGTCTCTGTCAGGGCTGTGGGCTGCCGCAGACCGGGAAGCGCCGGGCCGACCGAGGTTTCCTGCGGGTTCGGCAGGGGGAGGCCAGTCGCGGAGCGGCGGCTGCACGGCCGCTTCCTCTCCAGTCTGGGAGCGAGGCCCGGAGAAGGGCGGCGGCCGGTCCCAGGACGCACTGCGCGCCGTCTGCTGCAGGCTGACGACCCGGTGGCCCGGCGTGTGGGGGCGACCGCCGACCTCCCTGCAGGGACCCCCTCGGGCTGCAACCCGGGTGTGGGTGGGAGTCCCGGGACAGCGGTTCACCCGGTGGCTTCGAAGCCGGGCGCTAGGCCCTCCGGCTGCGGCCCTTGTAGTGGCAGCTGCCATCTGCCGCCGGGTCAGGGCCGCGGGACGTGTGCGCCCTCTGTCACTCAAACAGAAGTTCTCGGTGACCGGTAGACCCCGGAATCCTACTTATCGAGTAGGAGGTTGGGGCCTGCAGAGCTTGCGCAAGGTCACACAGCTGGAAAACCAGAACCCTAGTCCAGCCCCGCGTCTCCCTACTTCAGAATCGCCCGCTGCTTCCCCAAGTTCACTGCTGCGCCGGTGCGGCCGGGTCCTCTGTTAGGGATTGCCGTTTCCCAGGGTCGTTGGAGGCTTAACAGAAAACCAACATCGCTTTGGGCCTTTCGAGATAAAGTGCAAAAGATGCTTGGCACCAGTAAATGTTTAATGAACGGTAGCTGTACAGTACCTGGCACATATAAATAACGTTTTATCATCTGTCTCCCTTAGGATTTGTAGGAGGCAGGCAGGCATGGTGAGGCCCATTTCACTGACAGGAACACTGAGACAGGACGTGTCTCTCTCCAAGACGTTCAGCCGATAAAAGCAGCCAAGCTGGAGCCCAAGGCCCAGTGTCCCGAGTCACAGCGGGGGGCGCCCTGCACCAACCATGAGCCGTCTGCTCTGGAAGAAGGTGGCCAGCGCCACCGTCGGCTCAGGGCCAGTCCCAGCAACAGGACGCTGGGTCTCCAGCTCCGTCCTCGTCCCCGCCCCCAGCGACGGGCAGATGCAGCATCCGCAAGTGCCATCCTCAGAGGGCGGGCAGCAGCGGCACAACCCATTGCACATCCAGATGCTCTCGAGAGGGCTGCACGAGCAAATCTTCGGGCACGGAGGGGAGATGCCCGACGAGGCCGCGGTGCAACGCAGCGTCCAGCACCTACAGAAGCACGGGCTCTGGGGGCAGCCGGCCACGCCCTTGCCAGACGTGGAGCTGCGCCTGCCCCGGCTCTACGGGGACAACCTGGACCAGCACTTCCGCCTCCTGGCCCAGAAGCAGAGCCTGCCTTACCTGGAGGCGGCCAACTCGTTATTGCAGGCCCAGCTGCCGCCCCAGCCCCAGAGCTGGGCCTGGGCGGAGGGCTGGACCCGCTACGGCCCCGAGGGGGAGGCCGAACCCGTGGCCATCCCCGAGGAGCAGGCCCTGGTGTTCGACGTGGAGGTCTGCTTGGCAGAGGGAACCTGCCCCACATTGGCGGTGGCCATATCCCCCTCGGCCTGGTAAGTAGGAGTTAGGAACAGGGGACTTTAGCACCTGTAGGGGACCTGGCTTAACGGTTTGACTCAGTGAACATTTTCTGAGCTCCTGCTATGTACTGGGTGCTAATTTAAGGACTGCTGCTGTGGGGCTCACTGGTGGGAAGATACAGGCAGTAGACAACACCAAGCATATGCCAGGGGCCATGCAGAAAATCACAGTGTTGTGCTTGAGACATACTGGGAAACCATTTAAGATGACCATGAATTGGTGCCTCTATTCCTGCCCTCTAGCACCTTCGTGAGAAGTTAGTCTGAAAGTCATTTGAGCAGTGTTTGGTTTTGGGAATGCTGTTGGTTATTTTGGGCAGGAGGAAGCCCCTCCTGGTGGGACTATCTCAGGCAGTTTAAGATGTTCAGCATCCCCAGGGTCTTGCATAAACACCAAGCCAAAGCCTGTCCAACCTTTCGAAATGCCCCCTGGAGGAGGCTTGCCCTTAACCGTCCTCAGCTGAGAAATACTACTCCTCAAAAGCAGGCATTTTGGTCCCAAACAGGTATATCCAGTCTCTTTTCTTTTTAGATAACTTTCTAAGTGCTATCCAAGTTTCTTTTTCAAGCAATGATGGCAGTACTGTTTCTCCCCTTTTTTATTCTTCGTTCCAGGATTAAAATACTATTTACAACCTTAATGCTTTCAGGCATGGCCAGCAAAAAAGTTGGCAGTGTCTTTATTCCTATTGGAAGCTACATCTTTGTAAAGAAAGCTGCGAAATGTTATATATGCAGTTGAAAATGGTGAAAGCATGGCTAAATAGATAAGGTAGGCATTAAATGGCTGAAAAGAGCAAAACTAGATGATTTTGCATTTATTTAGTTCCAGTTATAATAAGAACCACAGTGCTTATTTTGTAACTTAATGGTCAGAGTCAAAGGGAATACCAGCCGTCATTTGAAAAGATAAAGTAGGCTTTGGTGGCTGAAAGGAAATAGGAAACCAGCGACCCTGAGGTTTTTTTTTTGTTTGTTTGTTTTTTTTTTTTTTTTGTCGATTTATGTGCATGAGTGTATGTCTGTATGAGCAAATGTCACTTGTATGTAGGTGTTCACAGAAGGAAAGAGGGTTTGGTGGGTGAAAAGAAAAAGGGAACCAGCGCCCCCTGGGTTTTTTTTTTTTTTTTTTTTTTTTTTTTTTTTTTGGTCGATTGGTCATTTTTGGCTAATTCAAGTCCCCTTTCTTCTTCCTTCTTATCAGCCTCTCTTTTCGTGCCATTCTGCCCTCAATCTCATTCCATTCTTGCCATTGGTCCTCGGGGCACTGCTCAGTTTGCCTGATGGCAGAAGCCGTTGCTCAGGCCTGGGTTTATGCTGAGACTTTTCTCCTAGTAGTCTATAGTGGGTGGGTTGGGAAGCAGATGGTGCCCCGTAGCAGTCCACATTTAGCCTGGCATGCCTCTGCCACATGGCCATGTAACATCAGTTACCTGACCAGCTCACAGCTTACAGGAGTTGGGTAGAAGCTGTGGACAGCCCTCAGCTCCCCCTCAGGGCAGCTTTCTAAAGGGTTTTGGTCATCTGTCTTAAGGGATATCACCCAGGCCTTTGGCATTTATTTGAGAGTCACAGGAAAACTGTAGTATGGGTTCCAGCTCATCTTATATTTTGTCTGTCTTTCTCTTTTTTCTTTTTTTTCTTTTTCTTTTTACTCACAAGATTAAAACAAGATGTCTGCATGCACAACTGCAAGCCTGTATCTAGAGACCAGTTAATGGCTTTTGTTATCTGAAGTCCATGCCATCGTCACAGCTTCAAGTACTTAGCATTCTTGAACTTTTTCTTCTGAGTTGTTTTTAAGGGCTTTTTTAAGAGAGGAAGCATTTCAACTTGAGTACCTTATATAGTCCCCAGTGTGGACTAGGGGATTTTGCTAGATTTAAAACTAGCTAGTTTTGTGGTATTTGAAAGTCTTGAGGCAGATCACTCCTCTCTTCCCTAAAGGCTGCAGAGAACCCCTTCCTTGCTGGCCACATAGGTGGCCCAGCCTTTTGGAACAATGTGTGGCTTGTAGCAGGCTTTTCATCAGTGGGCCTTCCCTACACTTTGCCTTTCAGTCTTAAGCAGACTAGCCTTTTTCTAAGTCTATCAGGCCCCCAACAAACGGCACTCATTCTGTCTCTTCTACCCCCACCTTGACACATGTGCATACATTTTCTCATTCTGGCACTCTCCCTGGTCTCTCACTGAGGGTAGTTGCTTCTATAAGGTGCATGATACGCTCTCTGTCCTTCAGAATCTTTGCATCCATCAGATGATTCACCCTATACATGTGTGCAGCATTTGTCATTTTTTTATTTTTTACTACTTTCAATTAAAAAAAACCTATACTTTGGGTTCTATTATTATCATCTGCCTCCTTTAGTAGCACTTTGAATAGTAGCTGTTTTGTACTTAAAGACACAGGGGGTTGGTCTGTTCGTAAAATGCATCAGAGCCAGGTGCAGACTCAGCCTTGGGCCCAATAAATACCTTAAGGGGCTGGCCCGCACATCTTCCTGCACATGGCACCCAGTACTGTAGCACTTAGCTCTTTTTATTCATGGGAGTTTAGCAGTAAAGAAGCTTTGTTATCCCTCTCCCCTCCCTGACCTCTGTGAGAGTGGGGAGCACCTTGGGGACCTAGCATGTGGTGGCAGGTGTGCAGTGGGTGGTATAGAACAGAAATCTAATCCTTGTAGTAAACCTGCCTGCCTCTCGCCTCCCTCAGGTATTCCTGGTGCAGCCGGCGGCTGGTGGAAGAGCGTTACTCTTGGACCAGCCAGCTGTCGCCGGCTGACCTCATCCCCCTGGAGGTCCCTGCTAGTACCAGCAAGTCTACCCAGCGGGATTGGCAGGAACAGTTAGTGGTGGGGCACAACGTTTGCTTTGATCGAGCCCATATCAGGGAGCAGTATCTGACTCAGGTAAGGTTTGTGGGAGTGGCAGGCTCTGGCTCAAGGTAGGCAAAGAACTCTATTCTCTTTTGCTAGGGAAGGCACTGTTTTCTTGGCCGGTTTCTAAACCCCCTCTTTATAGTATCCACAGGGACTACTGTTGACCAGCCCTGCCTGGTCTCTGCTCAACTGTTCTGCTTCTAGGACACATCTGAAACAGTGCTCGAGTTGTCTCAGAGTAAAATGGCTCTTATCTCTGTATGGCATTTTAAAGTTTAGGCCTTTGGGGGCTCTGAGCCACAGCCTGGGCCATATCCTGCCTCAACTACTGATGGGCAATGTGAAACTCCTTAACATCTCTAACCCTCAGTTTCTTTTTCTGTAAAAAGAGTTAATAGAAGCTCCTTCAAAGGCTTTTAGAATTTGAATAACACATATCAAACACTCAGCACTGCCTGTCGTGTGGTAATGATAATTCTTAATTTATGAAAATGCTCTTACATGGGGCTGGAGAGATGGCTCCCTGGTTAAGAGGACCCGAGTTCGATTCCCAGCACTCACACAGCAGCTAACAGCTGTCCGTAATTCCAGTTCTAGGGGATCTGATGCCCTCTTCTGACCTCACAGCATTGCATGACATGGGTGCACTTGTATACATGCAGGAAATACACTCATACACATAAAATAAAAATAAAATTTTTTAAAAAATGCTTTTTCATTGCATTTTCACAGCAGCCCAATGTGAAGGGCAGGGGTGGGGAGAGTACCCTTAGCAGCACCCTTATCCTGGCATATAGGGTGCTAAGGCTCAAAGAGCCTTGCTGACTTGCCAGGGGCTACAGCTTTTAAATGGTAGGGTCAGGGCCAGTGGGCAGGCCCATAGTTCTGAAGGTTTTGTTTAGGCCACTCTATATCCAGAGTTGCCTGGAGTTGTTGCTAGAAGCTAGGAAGTACTTGTGTATTGGGATTGAGCTGGGCCTGTACCTTCAAAGTTTGCTAGGAATTATAGGTTAAGGGCAAGCATGGAGCTTGTGGGTTTTTTTGTTTGTTTTTTTTGTTTTTGTTTTTCTTGTTGTTAGAGACTGTGTGGGAGCAGAGGCTATGTGAGGAGCTGAGTGGGACTGGGCTTGACACCACTAAAGCACTGGCCAGCTAGCCTCTCTGTTGCAGCTACTCCTCTCCTGCCCCTCCCTCAGGGCTCCCGAATGCGCTTTCTGGATACCATGAGCATGCACATGGCCATCTCAGGGCTGAGCAGCTTCCAACGCAGTCTGTGGATGGCAGCCAAGCAGGGCAAACACAAGGCCCAGCACTCTACACAGCGAGGCAAGAAGTCACAGAGGAAAGCCAATGGCTCAGTGGTGAGAATGTACTTGGGACTGCCAGGAGCAGGGATGCTTAGGATCCTGCTGGGCCTAAGGCCAATCTGACCTGCCTTTGGTCCCTCAGATTTCATCTTGGGACTGGATGGATATCAGCAGTGCCAATAATCTGGCAGACGTGCACGGCCTGTATGTGGGGGGACCTCCCTTAGAAAAGGAGCCTCGAGAACTGTTCATCAAGGGCAGCATGAGGGACATCCGGGAGAACTTCCAGGTATAGTGTTGGCAAAGAGCTCCAGCACCATGTGCTGTGACTGATCTGCAGCTGAACTTGGGGAAATACAGCTGCTAAGTCTGGCAGTGGGTAGCTGCTCCCTAACCTTCCCACCCAGCACCTTCCTTTCACCTTGTACTAGGATCTGATGCAGTATTGTGCCCGGGATGTGTGGGCCACCTATGAGGTTTTCCAGCAGCAACTGCCACTCTTCTTGGAGAGGTGAGGGAGCCAGATGGAACGCGGGGGGGGGGGGGGGGGGGGGGATGGGGTAAGCAGGTCCTGGTACCCAAGTGCATTGTAATAAGATGTGGCTGATTCGTCTTCAGACTGGTCACTTTGCTCTTGTAGGCTGAAAGAATGGAGCCCCTCTGTCCAGTGGTATCCATGTGGGCCCTGGACTCTGGGTTTGTTTGCTGTGCATGGTCCCAATTTCTTGTTGAAGTTTTTTAGTCAGTTTGATGATGATGTCAGTCATGAGTGTTATTTAGACCTGGCTCAAACTTTGGCTTATGTATTCTCATTGACTTTGAACAAATGATTTGGTTTCTCTGAGCCTCAGTCTTCATCAAGAAACATGCACTGGGGGCTGGAAAGATGGCTTAGTGGTTGAGAACACTGGCTGCTCTTGCAGAGGATGTGGGTTCAGTTCCTAGCACCCACATAGCAGCTAATAACCTTCTGTGACTTCGGTTCCAGGGGATCCGAAGACCTCTTCTAGCCTCCATGGGTATTGCACAACATGGGTGCACTTACATACATGCAGGCAAAACACTCCTACACATAAAATACATATAAATAATTAAATTATTTTTTAATTTAATTTTTAATTTTTTTTATGTGTAGGAGTGTATTGCTTGCATATGTGTAAGTGCACCTGTGTCATGCAGTGCCCACAGAGGTCAGAAGAGGGTGTCGGATCCCCTAGTATTGGAGTTACAGACAGTTGTGAGCTGTCATGTGGGTGCTTGGAATCGAACACAGGTCCTCTGCAAGAGCAGTTTTTGCTCTTAACTGCTGAGCCATCTCTTCAGCCCAAATAAATAAAATTTTTAAAATGCACGGAGTATACTTTGCTCCCCAGTTGTGAGGTCCATATCTATACGTGATCATTGTTATGTATGGGGTTGTTAGCACAGTGCCTACGCAGAGTCACTCAGTAGCCCTCATTCTTTCTTTTGTTGTCCTTCGTTCTCATATTATCCCTGAGGAAGGGATGTTACTTCCATGTCACAGGTAAAGGAATTGAGGCTCAGAGAAGCGAGGTGATGCAGGGTTGGGTAGTACAGAGCCTGGTTGAAATCTCTGATATCAGAACCGTGCCACACAGCTGGTTGGGTTGAACTTGCCAGATTGTCTCAGGAATTGGGCCTAAGCCTTGTCTCCTGTGGTCATTTATGGCACTCTTTGGTCTCTGTCCCCAAGGTGCCCCCACCCAGTGACTCTAGCAGGTATGTTGGAGATGGGTGTATCCTACCTGCCTGTTAACCAGAACTGGGAGCGTTATCTGGCGGAGGCACAGAGCACTTATGAGGAGCTCCAGCGGGAGATGAAGAAGTCATTGATGGATCTGGCCAATGATGCCTGCCAGCTGGTCTCAGGAGAGAGGTAGCCAGGTCTCAGGCGGGCAGGGGACAGGCAGGCAGAAGGCCTGGCCTTTGATTCAGCCCTAACCCCAACCTGGTGGACTGACTCTGCAGGTACAAAGAAGACCCATGGCTCTGGGACCTAGAGTGGGACCTGCAGGAGTTTAAGCAGAAAAAGACAAAAGTGAAGAAGAAGTCAGCCTCATCTAGCAAATTGCTCATTAAGGGAGCTGGGCCTCATGGGAATCTCATGGATCAGGAAGGTATGAAGCTTGAATAGGAGGTGGGGTAGGATGGTCTCTGGGATGGTCCATTGGAAGGGGTTGCTATAGTCTTTCAGCTCTGCATGTCCCTTCTGGTCCTAAACTCCTCACCCTACAACAGACCCTGGACCGCCCAGTGAGGAAGAGGAGCTTCAACAAGACATCATGGCCCGTACCTGCTTGCAGCAGCTGAAGAATACCACAGACCTCCTGCCTAAGCGGCCCCAGCACCTTCCTGGACATCCTGGGTAATCTCTGTTCCCTCTGACATCCAGAAGCTGCCTTGCACTATCCTTAGAACACCTCTTGTCTGGACCCCAGCATGGAAGCAGTGTACACCTGGGTTGCTATACATTGACTCCCATCTTCTGAGTCTGCTCATTTGTATTCACTTTGACCTCATTGGCTTTCTGGACATTGTTCAGCACAGTGCTCATTTAGCACAGTCATTGAACACCTGCTGTACACTGCCATGGCAGTTGCACATCTCTTCCCTTCCTAGGGGAAGCAAGTGTGCAGACCAGTCAGTGCAGTTGACATGGAATGAGACTTAGTGTGCACAGTTTCAAGGCAGTTCTGAGTGCCTGGAGAAATCAGGGGAGGCTTCCTTGATGAAATCACTTTCCCCAAGGAAAGGATGAGAAAAAGGGTAGCCAGAGTGACCAGTAGGGTAGCTGCTTTATACTTGCATAACCCTGGATACACATGCCCTGGGTGTGTTGCTAGTCTCACATTGGTCTTGATCCTGGTGAACAGTCTGTGAGAGACAAAGCCCATAGGACTTGTGTCTATAGGTCTGATGGGAAGGAGGGAAGATTTGCTCCTTCTACTGAGAAGCTACAGTGGGACTTGGAAAGGAGCTTAGCTCTGGACTGGAGAATGTCTGTCCAGAGTTATGACTACTCCAATGAGGCGGACAGGTCTTGCCTTTGGGGATATTTGAATTATTCTAGGAGATTCTGTATAGGTCCTAACCAAAGTCTCCCAAAGGAAGGGGTTGAAACTTATAGGTCTGAGTCACCAGAAAATGCAGAGGGCCTTGGAAGGTGGGTGAAGTACTTGATAGTAGAGAGTACTTCCTTCCCTTCCTAATGTGATAGTGTTTTTCTTTTTTTGTTTTTTTTTTCCTTGATGGGGAGTAGGTGGTACCGGAAGCTCTGCCCTCGGCTAGATGACCCTGCATGGACTCCAGGCCCCAGCCTCCTTAGCCTGCAGATGCGGGTCACCCCCAAGCTCATGGCGCTTACTTGGGATGGTTTCCCTCTGCACTACTCAGAGTCTCATGGTTGGGGTTATCTGGTGCCTGGGCGGCGGGATAACCTGGCTGAGGGTACCATCCTGGAGTCATCTGGGGTAGCCTTCCCCTACAGGTAAGGCTCAGGCTCCAGGGACCTAGGGACCCCCATGCCCTTGCTAGGAAAATCAAAGTCAGCTCAGTCTGGTAGGAAGAGCTTGGGTCTAGGAGTCTGGGTTCTAGTTCTTTTTTCCATGGTTTCCCTGACCCCCTGGGCCTCAGGGCCTTGGTATCAGTGGGGAAGATTAAGACTGTGCTCCTGGGCCTAGCAGTACAACTGCCTTCATAGAAACATGGAGAGGGAAGACTTGGTTGTGGCCTAGGAGGGGGGGGAAGGCTGATGCTTTTTCTTGAAATATAATTTGAGTGCACATTATTTGCAGGCACTATATCTGCAGGCAGTACAAATCTCACTTGCTCTCTGAACAGCCCCATGAGGTATTACAGGGTCTTTATAGCCTAGGTTTTCCTGGAATTCATTCTATAGCCCAGGCTGGCCTCAAATTCAAGGTAATCTCGAGTCAGCTTCCCAACTACTGTGATGATAGCTGTGTACTACCACAAGTGACTTTACATTTTTTAAATTTGTTTATGGTGCTGGAGATTGAGCTCTGGGCTTCATGCATAATAAGGCAAGTGTCCTGCCAAGCCTGGTAGCTACATTTTTTAATTGACAAGAGCCTAGAGAAGTTAATTAGCCTGTTTGAGGCCACAAACTATGAGCTTTTGACATTTTTGACAGACAAGTGTTACAGAGAAATCAGGGCATTTGAAGTGGGCTAGGGTCTTGGCTTCACAGGGCAGCCAGAGTCACTTTCAGTTAGGTGGAAGGCAGTGAGCTAGGCCTTGCTCCTTTGAGCCTATACATGGGTGAGTGGGTAGGAGCCAGCCCTGCCGTGGGGCCTTCAGTCCTGACTTCCCTCTGCCTTGCTCCCAGAACTCTCAAGGCAGCTTTGTAGCATAGAGATTTGAGTCAGACTAGGTATCAAACCCCAAACTGCCATCAGTGTGTAGGTCATTTGAGTTTATTCTCAGTCTAAGAGTTGGGGAAATTGATGCCTGCTTCTGCCTCAGAGCTGATGGTAAAAACTAAATAAAGGGATCTGTGGAAAGCCCCAGTGCCTGAGCAGGCATCCAGTAATCAGTTATTTTCTCTCCCAGAGCTATTGAGTCCTTGTATAGGAAGCACTGTCTTGAACAGGGAAAGCAGCAACTGGAGACCCAGGAGACAGTCCTGGCTGAGGAATTCTTGCTCACTGACAGTAGTGCCATTTGGCAAACGGTAAGGACTAGCTCTGAAGCTGAGCTATTGGGTGGAGGAATCTCTTGTGGTGGTGCTTCCCTTTAATCCCAGCACTCAGGAGGCAGAGGCAGGAGGATCTCTGTGAGTTCCAGGCCATCTGGGGCTATAGGGAGACCCTGTCTCAAAGAAAAAAAGGAAAGGGTCAGCCTTTTGGGTAGAAGCTGCCACTGGTTGCTCATCCCAGACTGGTCTGGTTTGGTACTCTGTAGGGAAGAGCTGGTGGATTCAGGCTTTCAACTGCCTGCCTCTTAACACCTTTGGTTGTTGGACCCATGTAGGTAGAAGAACTGGGCAGTTTAGACTTGGCGGCCGAGTCCAAGATGGAGAACTCAGTGCCAGGTCAACCCCTAGCCCTGGTGAGCAGGGTACCTGTTTGGGTTCTCTGGGTGGGTATTGGGCAACTGGGGTTTCTTCTTGCCCTCATAGTTATTTCCTAGCAGAGTTCCCTAGGTCTTGGAGGGTTTGGAGACACTGCCCTGCTCCCCTTTTAGTCCCACACATGTTGGGAGACCAAGGAGGAAGTCTGTGACATATGGACTTCCTGTTACTTCCTAGCTTGCCTGCTTACAGTTTCAGGCCCTTTTCCTACACCCCCACCCCCACCCCTTGGCCCTTGCTGAATGCAGGTGCTAGAACAGGGCCTGATCTGGGTGTGTGGCCCCCACAGCCTGTTGCTTGTGGCCCCCAAACCAGCCAGCCTACGTATCACCATGGCAATGGACCTTACAATGATGTGGATATTCCTGGATGCTGGTTTTTCAAGCTGCCTCACAAGGTATATGTTGTGGTTTGTGCCTGCCCCGTCATGTTCTCACTATGGTTAAGACTCATTAAGTAGGTCTCCGGGGTGACTCAGACCAGGACATTTCTTTTTGTGGGAAAGACAGTATTAGACCAGAGTATGATTTGCTTTTCTGAAAATTGAATGGTGAGGGGTATCCTGGTGGGATTGACTGACATGAAGCCTGTATCAAGTGTCTAGCACTGTATCTGACACCTGGTAAGTGTGTTGACTAATTGGAGCTAGGTTTGCTTGTGTCTGATTCTCTCTCTCTCTCTTTCTCTCTCTCTCTCTCTCTCTCTCTCTCTCTGTGTGTGTGTGTGTGTGTGTGTGTGTGTGTGTATGTACACATGCGCACATGTACGTATCTGTGAGATCTTAATCTTGGGAATTTCCCTGGACTGTTTGAGATTCTGGGCTCTGTTGGGAAAAGGCCCAATACCATATCAGTTCCCTATCTGGTGCCCTGCCACCTGCCTCCAACCCTTTGTTTTTTGTTCTCTCCAGGATGGTAACAACTACAATGTGGGCAGCCCCTTTGCCAAAGACTTCCTGCCCAAGATGGAGGATGGCACCCTACAGGCTGGCCCAGGAGGTGCCAGTGGACCTCGTGCCTTGGAAATCAACAAAATGATTTCGTTTTGGAGAAATGCTCATAAACGTATCAGGTGGGCCATAGTGGGGGAGCAGGAGGCCTGTCTATACCTACAGGTATCTGCAGTCTTGGAACGCCTTTCCTCCTGTTCTATCCTGATACCCCACACTCTGCCTGTGCTACCCCAGAGAGGTAACCTAGCTGTGGTCTAGAGGCCTAGTGGTTTGTCCTGGTTCCATGTACCTTGGGCATGGCTCTCTCTCTCCAGCTTCAGTTTCCTTGTTTATGTGGAGTGGTGTTATAGGACTTTGATGGTCCTCCCAGCTCTCATTGAATCTTATTTTACCTGCTAGGGCCACAAATGTGGCTAAGGACTTTGGAGGGCTGGTTGTCTATAACCTCTGTTGGGGACTGAGAGCTGAGTCTTAACCTGCAGGGGCAAATGAATTCATCTTGAAGGTCACTTCCAAAGTGGTTATGGCCACAAGCCTCTTGTAAGGGGGTGCAAGGAAGCAGTGGTGGCAGGAGAAAAGAGGCATATGCTGCCCTGGAGGCTTGGCCACTTCCTAGATCCTTCTGTAGAGTCCAGGCTTTGGCTGAGCCAGAGCCCATGCTGAGTCAAGTTAGTGAGAAGAATGTTGATGCCAGGCCTCAAAGGGACACAGCATCTCTGAAGTTAAGCATGTATAAGTGCTGGTGACAGCAGGGTTGGGGTGGATTCTGCTCACTATGGCTGTGTTTCAGCCTGTTTGTCTCCTCAGCTCCCAGATGGTAGTGTGGCTCCCCAAGTCATCTCTGCCCCGTGCTGTGACCAGGTATAGCTTACTGGATGGTGGTGTGAATAAAACAATGGCGTGGGTCTTAGGACCAGAGCAAACTGCTGGTACTTCTCTCTGCTTCTCCCGATCCCAGGCATCCTGACTTTGATGAGGAAGGCCGTTATGGTGCCATTTTGCCCCAGGTGGTAACTGCTGGCACCATCACCCGCAGAGCTGTGGAGCCCACGTGGCTCACTGCCAGCAACGCTCGGGTATATATCCTCTATGTTCTTGTCCTTTGTTCTTCCTTTTTGATCTCTAGAAACTAGGATTGCAGAGGACCTTTGGGGGTTTAGCAAGAGAGGAGAAGGAAACTAAAGTCTGAGCCAGGCAGGGCTCTAGTTCAAATTTGGCTTCATGTCAACTATTCCTTTAGCAAGTGTTTTGGGTGCCTGCCGCTGGCTAGACAATGCCAGGTATAATAGCCACAGCTATCATGAAATTTAGAAGCGGTTATGTAGGTAAGGGCCTGGCATACAGTAGGGTTTCTTCATTTACCAGTCTACTGCTGATAGGTGGCCATCTCTGAACATAGCATTTTAAGCAGTGTTATGTGGCATTCTCTAAAGCCTTTTGCTAAGCAAAGGCCTCAGTAGTTTTAACTCTCAGAACCCAGAGTAGCTGTCTCCTTGGGCTCCATGTAGGTCTGAACTCACTCACTCTTCCTACAGCCTGACCGGGTAGGCAGTGAGTTGAAAGCAATGGTGCAGGCCCCACCTGGCTATGTCCTTGTGGGTGCTGATGTGGATTCACAGGAGCTGTGGATTGCAGCTGTACTTGGAGATGCCCACTTTGCTGGCATGCATGGTAAGTAGGATCTGTGGCTGGGGCAGGGATGAGATGGCCTAGCCCCTCAGAGCCCAAGTGGCTGGGCCAAGTGTTTATGAGCTGCTCCATTGTTTTCCAGGCTGCACAGCTTTTGGTTGGATGACACTACAGGGCAGGAAGAGCAGGGGCACCGATTTACACAGCAAGACAGCCACAACAGTAGGCATCAGCCGAGAGCATGCTAAAGTCTTCAACTATGGCCGGATTTATGGAGCTGGGCAGTCCTTTGCCGAGCGTCTGCTGATGCAGTTTAATCACCGGCTCACAAGGCAGGAGGCAGCTGAGAAGGCCCAGCAGATGTATGCCGTCACCAAAGGTCTCCGCCGGTGAGGATCACTTTAGCATCCATACTTTAGTGTTCCTTTTTTTTTTTTCCCCCCCATTTCTTACTGTCACGTGAGAACTCTCCTTCTAAACCTGTGACCTAGCTACAGGATAGTTTGGGAGTTGTAAGATTTGTATTATACTTAGAGCTCACTGTACTTGGGGGTATATTGTTATCAAGGAGTCATCCATATTTGTAATTACGTAACATCAACAGTAGCTTAGGGCTTTTGTGTGCATGCCTATTGGAGCAAGAGAGCAGAGATGGTCTGACAGAATAGGACTGTGTAGGCTGGTCCTGCCATAGGAGAAAGTCTTTGACAAAGTTTACTAGTCCAGCTCTCTGATCTGTTTCCTCTGGTAGTGCTGCCTGCTGCTTGGGGCCTTCTGAGGCTCTGGTGTGCTCAAGTACGAGAGAGGAGTGGTAAGGGTACATTGACAGCTTCTTTAAGTATACTCTGCAGTGTCTCTATTTAGATAGCTGTCTCACTGTGGAAACTCATTTTGTGAAAGACAAAGTTGAGTAACTGATAAAGAACATAATGGTGACTGGGAGTTGAATGTTCAGAGCAGGTGGCTGGCCAGTTCCTTGGTGGCACTCATGCCTTTGGCAGTGTGTGCTGGTGGAAGGGCAGTGATGAGTACTGCCCTTGGCTCTAGAAGTCATTAAAGGCATCACAGAGTAGTTTGGACTGCAGACCTAGATTATAGGGAAGCTCTGATGCTCCTTTCTATAGGTGACATAGCTCTGGAGCCCTTAGGGGACAAACCTGGTGATGTTTGAAGGTAAGAATCTGGGATAGTAGGAGTTAGGAAGCTGGGCTTGGCTATTTTGTTTTCTGCATCTCCAGGTGCCTTCTCCCCCTCACAGTGCAGCACCGTACTTTCACCCCATACCCCAATCTTATGTTAACAAAAGGCTGCTGTTGATCATTGGGTAGTTTGATATCCCAAGCATTAGGACTGTGTGATCAGCAATGGCTTATATTGGATGGAGTCTGTACTTTATTGGGCTACCATAATATAGCCCAGGCTTTGGGGACTTTCAGGACTCAAACCCTGAGTTCCTGTCTGTGCTGGGCTCCTTCCTAGCAGCATGACTTATCTTAGCAAGCTATTCGGCCCCTCCAGGCCAGTTCTCTGTGCCAAAGTAAAGCCTTCGGGGAGAGGCTTTTTGGGAAACTGAATGAGGTGGATGTGCTACAGAGGAGGCCATTTTATGAGAATGACATGGTGCCATTACCTGTAGGTATCGCCTATCTGATGAGGGTGAATGGCTGGTGAGACAGTTGGACCTCCCTGTGGATAGGACTGAAGATGGGTGGATTTCCCTACAGGATCTGCGAAAGATCCAGAGAGAAGCTTCAAGGAAGTGAGAACCTTCTGTGTTCAAGATGGAGGGACTGGTGTTGGCTGATCCCAGGAGAACTGGGACAGTGTGGTTTTTAGCTCTGAGACGCTGAAAAATAAAGCTTGCCCCCATTGTTTCTGTTCCTAGGTCACGCTGGAAGAAGTGGGAGGTAGTTGCCGAACGAGCATGGACGGGGGGCACAGAATCAGAAATGTTTAACAAGTTGGAGAGCATTGCCATGTCTGACATGCCACGCACCCCAGTGCTGGGCTGCTGCATCAGTCGAGCCTTGGAACCCTCGGCTGTCCAGGGAGAGGTATTTTGTTACCCTTGGAGTATGCTGAAAAAGGGGCTTGGAGCACAGGGCTGCTCCTCATAGCCCTTACTAATTTGGCAAGTGGGGCTAGTTTGCTAAATAGAGCTGCTTCTGAGGCTCCTAGACCACCCCTTGCTCTTTAGAGCTAACTGATGTGTGGTAAAGCCCCTTACCCTTGTCCACCTGTCCTCAGTTTATGACCAGCCGTGTGAACTGGGTGGTGCAGAGCTCTGCAGTGGACTATTTACACCTCATGCTTGTGGCTATGAAGTGGCTGTTTGAGGAATTTGCTATCAATGGACGCTTCTGCATCAGCATACATGATGAGGTCCGATATCTGGTTCGGGAGGAGGACCGATACCGTGCTGCTTTGGCTCTACAGATCACCAACCTCCTGACCAGGTATGTGGAGCCTTGGGAGAGACTGTTTTATCTCTTAGTTTTATTTGAGACAGGATCTCCCTGTAGCCCCAGCTGGCCTGGTACTTGCTAAGGCTGACCTTGATCTCAAGAGATCCCCCTGTCTCCCAAATGCCAGAACCAAAGGCATGTGCCATGAGGTAGACTTCAGCTTTTAAAAAGAGGGAGGAGGTTCTGTTTAAAAGTCTACATTTGTCTCATATATGGGCACAATAATTGAAAATAATTTTTTACTACCAATAAAGTATACCAAACTCAAAAAGTGTGTTGAGTTCCTAACTGCATTTCAGTGTCTCAGCAGGTGTTAGGCTGAACATGGAGGCCTCTTGACCTCCACTAATGGCTTTGCTAAGTGAATTGGTAATTGGTGCTGGGGAAGCCTCCTGGAGTAAGGAGACTGTTCACAGTAGGGCACGACTGTGAGTGGAGATTGGGTCTCTTTCAGGTGTATGTTTGCCTACAAGCTGGGTCTGAATGATCTGCCCCAGTCAGTCGCCTTTTTCAGTGCAGTAGATATTGACCAGTGCCTCAGGAAGGAAGTGACCATGGATTGTAAAACTCCTTCTAACCCAACTGGGATGGAAAGGAGATACGGGATTCCCCAGGGTGAGTACAATCTCATTGTTCCTCATATGCACAGGACTAGAGGTGGGTTAGAACCTTGGGGCCCCCGGAAGAAGTCCACTCTTGACTTATACCATATTTTAGGCTATTTAGACCTAAGCTACCTTATAAACTTAATGTTCAAATCACAAAGGGAGCTGTTTGTAGAAAGTGGTTCATAGTAAATGACATGAAACTTCAAATATTCCATGTATACTTGCCCAATTTTCAACCACACCAGAAATGCTTTATTGTGTAAGTCAAAGTGCATTCTTAGATGAACTCTGCTGAAAATACCAAATAGTGGATCAGAATACTTGCTCTCTATTAAAATATATATCTAAGACAAACTGCCATTCCTGCCAGTTGTCCGCATCTCTCCCACCATTCTTTTGACCATAACATTTTAGTTTCAGATTCTCAGAGTTCTCTCAGTCAGTTTTTGTGGCGGTATCCTAACCAATTTTCACTGTCTTTCAGGTGAAGCACTGGATATTTACCAGATAATTGAACTCACCAAAGGCTCTTTGGAAAAATGAAGCCAGCCTGGACCCTAGCTCTGCCTGGAGGCTCTCTCTGTATTTGCTCCTGTGGAGCTTCATCGGAGCAGTGCAGGTTCCCAAACTCAGGCTTTCATATGTGCTTTTTGCAAAAGGGCATGCCTAAGGTAGACCCTTTTCAGTGGCAGGACCTGCCAAGAAGATTCCTTCTCAGTGAAGGCACAGTTCAGTGGGTTCAGAACCAGGATGCCAACATTGGTGCAGGCTGTAGGGGAAGGGGCACTGTTGGGCACAAAGGAAGCAGATGCCCCAAAGGTCACTTTAACTCAGGCATTTCATTTTTTTCTTTTCTTCTTGGCTGGTTCTCTGTCCTGTCCTGTGTGTGCTGGTGCAGTGTCCTAGAAGGAGAGAGTAAAGCTCTACTATAAGAAACCTGCTCTAAGGCAGTGGAAATAAAAACAAACACCTAAAAGTCCTTTATCTTCTCATTAAAGCCTGTATTAGTCATGTTTTCCCCCTCTGTACTCCCAGAAGCTCTTGGAGCTCTGTACCCTGAGTAGAGTAGCAGGGACTCTGACTCCTGTTTGGACTTTTGTTATATATTAGAACAAGGTGACAAAGAACTTCAAGCATCATAATGCTATGTAATGACCTTTCTAAGCTCAAATGCTAAGGAGCTAGAATTCAGGATCAAAATTTCTAAAATTCAAATTATTTTACATAAACTTCCAGTTTTGAAAGGGGTGTAGGCTACTGTCTTCCACAAAACAAGATGAAAACTTTTAAGTGCTAAAGGCAAGGAAATGTTGGGCTCAGTAATACAATGGAAAGTCTCCCTAAGGTTCAGAGTGGGCCTACCTCAAGGGTAGTAAAAGCTACCCAGAATGCTGGAACTAGTTGCCTAATGGTTCAAAAGGAAATGACCTAGGAAGAGATAGTTTCGTTGCCACTGTCTTCCTAGAAACATACCAAAAATATATACAAGTCTGGATAGCGCTATAGGATTATGTTTAGATGTTTTTCTGAGCTAGGCTCTATGTAGCCCAGGCTGGCCTTAAACTCAAGGTGCTCCCCCTGACCTAGCCTCTTCAGCGCTAGGATTATAGATGTGAATTTCCACACCTGACTTTTTGTTTAAAGTTGAAAACTCTTGAGTCCTTAGGCTATCATCTTTGCCTACCACCTTTTAGCCTGAATTGCTGGTTGCTGCCCTTTTGCTAATCTGGCTACTCCCACATGGGCTTGTTAGAAAAGCAGCCACCAATTGGGGACAGGACTTGCTGTTCTGGAAGAAGTAGGTACTGACCTCTTCGGTTTCATCCTCCCTATCCTCTTGAAGAACCATGTCCAGGATGTTGCCTTTGATCTTGAAGTCTCGTGAGGTACTGAGCTTCATGTACTGCATCAAGTTCACCTGTGACAAGACAGGCTTGTAAGCAAAGGAGTTTCTTAACTCAGGTCCTTTTGGGTCAGCATTAAACACTTCTAGTATGTACCTGACAAACCTTTCAGTTCCAATAGTAGGCATATACTCACCTGACCTGCTTTCCCATGTTTCCTACATGATCTGGATTCAGGTCACCAGATCAGAAATGGCAAAGAAATGATCAGATTGTAGGTCACCTTTTGCTCTCTGTAACTGTCTTCCCTTGGTTTGCCAGGCCCTTCAGCAGTAAATGGAAATGCTAATATTTTTACCTTGGACTTTTTAGATAGCTGGATAAGAAATTTTTCATACTGTTCAATGGCAAAAATGAGATTGGGGATTGGCTTGGTTTCTCGAAGAACTTTGGCCTAAGGGCAGAAAGAACACAGAATTTAAATTTCAAGTTCAATTGCTGTTTGTTTTTTGAGACCAAGTCTCACCATGTAGTCCTGGCTGGCCCCTAACTCACAGTGATCTATCTGCTTTTGCCTCCCCAAGTGCTGGGATTAAAGGTGTGCCCAAACTAAATTCAATTGTTTTTACTTTTAGACAGGGTCTCCTTGTAGCCTCAGCTGGCCTGGAACTCACTATGTAGACTAGGCTGGCCTCAATCTCAAGAGATTCACCTGCTTTTTCCTCTAGAGAACTGGATAAAGGTGTGTGCCACCACGTCTGGCTAGTTCAGTTTGAAATTTTTATGTAGAGTTGTCATTAGCAGAACTATACATGCTAATTTATCTTCCAACCAAATACAGTTTTATTTACATATCAATAATCTAAAATTTGTGGGGCTGGAGAGATGGCTCAGTGGTTAAGAGCACTTTATAGAGGACGGGGGTTCCATTCCCAGCACCCACATAGCAGCTATGAACTGTCCTTAACTCCAGTTCCAGGGGAATGCAATGCCCTCTTCTGACCTTTGTGGCACTGCACAACATGGGTGCGCTCACATACATGTAGGCAATACACATACACATAAAAATAAAGTATATTAAAAAATAAAAAGGTTTGGCAGTTTAATCTCAAAGGATCCAACTGCCACCAGATTACGCAGCAGCTTTCCATTAAGAATTTTTAAATAATGGGACTTGGAGAGATGGCTCAGCAGTTAAGAGTACTGGTTGCCCTTGCTGAGGACCCAGGTTTGGTTCCCAGCACCTACATGGCAGCTTACAACCATGGGTAACACTAGTTCCAGGGGATCCAACACCCTCTTCTGGCTTCTGTGGGCATTGCACACATGGGTACATTTATATACATGCAGGACACCCATACACATAACAATAAAATTCATAAGTATCATCACGCTAATATTTCCTAAGCTTACCTAGTGTACTAGATCAGCTGAGGGCACAACTATCTGCAGAAATTTAGTTGCCTTTCCAACTGGGTGTTTTATTTCTTTTTTTTTTTTTTGAAATAGGGTCATGCTATGTACCCTGGCTGGCCTTGAACTCACAGAGATCCACCTGCTACCTCTGCCTCCAGACTGCTGGGATTAAAGGTGTGTTACCACCATTCCCAGCCTTCCAGTTTACATTCTTAAAACAAGGAGCCCACTGGCACATGAATTTGCATTGCTGGGATCTAGTATCTCTTTCCTCAATTTGAATTGTAAATTGTAGATCCTTCCAAATGGTTAGAAAGGTATGTTTATTTTTCAAACCCATAAATGAAGATAGCACATGCTTTTTTTTTTTCTTGAGGCAACATTTTACTGTGTAGCTCATGGCTTTCCTACTCTTCATCCTCCCAAATTCTGGAATTATAGGCGTACCTTCTTCCCTCCCTTTTAAAAACTAAAAATATGATCTTAGGAAAACTCTCTAGCTGAACATTCAGAATATCTGCCCAGTATTTTCCAGTATAGTATGTACTATAACATATTTAACTGGTCTCTGGATCTTTGTTATTTCCCTTTAATAAACAGTGTTGTGAGGATCAACTTGTACTTAGGCCTTCACAAATTCTATATCCTAAAAGAGGGATTGTTACATCCGTATTTCCTAAAATATAGTAGCTTTTGCCCCTTTCCCACACTCACCAATTCTTTTTTTTTTTGGTCTTTTTGAGACAGGGTCTCCCTGTAGCCCCAGCTGTCCTGGAACTCACTATGTAGACCAGGCTGGCCTTGAACTCACAAAGATCTGCCTGCCTCTGCCTCCCAAGTGCTGGGATTAAAGGCGTGTGCCACCACGCCAGGCTTATACACACTCACCAATTCTTATAGCTCCTTTAGGGAATAACCTTTTACACTCCTACTTTTCTTAAAAATAATCTTAATGTCCAGCAACAACTGATCATCAACTGGAACTTGAGGAAGTTACTTACCATGGTTGGGCCAACAGTAGCTTTCTCCTTTTCCTTCTCTGTGGACTTTGGGTTGTTACTCCTCTTATTCTAAAGAAATAGAAACATTCTCTCAAGATTTTTCTGTAGCCAGCAAGCTATTGACAATTTACCTAAGTAATTAAAACAGACCATGGTTATAGGTCTGGAATGAACAGGATTGAATTCCAGAACTTTATAACCCTCAAACGTCTGTCTCTCATTGGAAGGCATACACTCTACTGCTTTTGGAGATATATGGAATTTGAGGGCAGGAGAACCATTATTCTAGGCCAGCCAAGGGACTGATTGGTGAGGTACATACAGCTAAAATAGTTCAAATGGAGACTGTCAAGGTAGTAGGAACAGGAATTTTCTGCTGAGCAGCCAACTAACTAAAAGAGGCCATGCTGGGGCCTGCAGTCACCCTCTGAAGCAATCACCAGATGTATCTCATGTGGAATGTAGGTACCATGCTTGAGGAGTGTGTAAAATGTTATAAGGAGACTTCCCTGAGTTGTAGATTATTAGGTAAAAAGAGCTCCTGGAGAGAAAAGAATGAGAAGAATACTAACAAGGCAAAAGACAGAAACTTAAGCAAGGAGAGATGGAAAAACCACCCATGTGTGCAGAATATCAAACAAGACGCTTTCATCTCAAAGGGAAAAGTTCCATGCTCCAAAGCAAGAGAATAAAAATAGCAACCAGAAAATTCAGATAAACTATGAGTGAAGCCATGTGATGCAGGCAGGTGATCCTCATGCCATGTTTTGGGAAAAGTAAAACTAAATTCTGGAGAGCTGGTATGACAAGGTCTGTTTTTGGCCCTGGAAGGTTAGGGTAGAGGGTGAGGCCCCATTAGGGGAAGGAGAGGAAGAAATGCAGCCACAGATTTCACTTGACCATGTGGGAAGTAAGCCATCTTTCTGGATGTTTGTGTCCAAGGTATGGCACCCTGTTGAGACGGACTGTCCACTGCCCATTCCTAGTGACTAAAACTTAAGAGCCAGGAAAACCCAAACAATAACAAGACAAAAATTAGAGCCAGAAATATCCTCGGATGTGCACAGTTCTGAGAAAAATGCTAAGGGTTTTGGAGCACTGGTTTTCACTGCTTACCATCAAGGTCAAAGGCAGTGTGAGAAAGGGGACTCAAAGAGGTCAGCTCTGAAAGATGTGGCAAATGCAACTTCTATTTCTACAAAAGAGCTCCAGTTAATGGAACCATGAGCTCTTGCTCAGGATCACTAGGTACATCTCACAGAGACAAAAACATTTGGGCTGAATGTATAGCTCAGTGGAAGAGCACCTGTTCAGTGTGCACAAGGCCCTGGATTTGATTCCTACCACTACTTTAAAAAAAAGAATAGAAAATTGCCTGCAAGCTAGCTGATTTGCCAGTAAAGCACTAAGATAAGTATCAACAGGGAAAGGGGAAGTCCCCAGGGCATACATGAAATGGGTCCTCGTATAATTTTAGGAAAAATAACTACCAATATAGTTCCTAGGCAACAAGTAGCACATGGTTCTAGAGCAGGGGTTGACATATGTGATGTGCCCAGTCTATTACCTGTTGAATAAAACTTCAAGGGAACATAAACCACATACGCTTATGTACTCCATGTTTTTATGTTACAACAAAAGAGCTGAGAGGGACAATAGACTATATGTACTATATAGCCCATAAAGCCTAAAACATTTACTATTTGGCCCTTTACAGAATATTTGCTGGCCCCTGTTGTAGAAACAAACTAGCTGGAGTACTCTTAGGTCTGGCTTTAATTAGTTGTCTGTTCTTGGCCATTCAGTTAACCTCCCAAATACAGAGTGAGGATGAAAGCTGACATAAGGGCTCACTAAATAGTAGCTGGTCTAATAAAGGACTTGGATTATAACAAAGATGGTAAATAAGGCCTTACAGCAGTGTTTCCAAGTTATACTCTAGAGCATTATTCTGCCCAGTAATAAGGTCACTTAAAAGTTTTTGATTGGACTGGGCATGGTGGCACACGCCTTTAATCCCAGCACTAGGGAGGCAAAATCAGGTGGCTATACATTCAGCCCAAATGTTTTTGTCTCTGTGAGATGTACCTAGTGATCCTGAGCAAGAGCTCATGGTTCCATTAACTGGAGCTCTTTTGTAGAAATAGAAGTTGCATTTGCCACATCTTTCAGAGCTGACCTCTTTGAGTCCCCTTTCTCACACTGCCTTCGACCTTGATGGTAAGCAGTGAAAACCAGCCTGGTCTACAGAGTGAGTTCCAGGACAGCTGGGGCTACAGGGAGACCTTCTCTCAAAAAGACCCCCCCAAAAGAAGTTTTTGAGTTTTTAAGACAGGGCCCCACTATTCAGCCCTAGCTGGCCTATAACTTGCTATGTAGACCATGCTAGCTTCAAACTCAGGGATCAGCCTACCCCTGCCTCCCAGTTTGAATAGGTTTGAAAAGAACTATTAGATACCGCTGGAAGTTTCAGAACCTTTAATATGCTAATGGACAACAGGAATCTTAAGATCAGTAACATGATATGACTATTCCTCCCGGGATCCTCTTGTGGAGACAAAATGTTTTGAGTTTCTGTAGTACACTTTGTGAAATCTGTATGGCCACAATATGCATCATTTAGAACGATAGAGAAGCTGGATTTGTTAGCATGCCTGTAATCCCAGCAGCGAGCTGAGGAAGATCTCAAGTTGGAGGCCAGCCTATACTACATAGGGAGTCTCAAAAACTGAAAAGATGGGAACTCAAAACCACAATTTAGGAGTGGAGGAATATATCCTATGGAAAACATTTCAAAGAATGGTACTCACATAAAAATTAAAATTTCTCCAAGCTCTGAGAACCTACAGATTAGAAAAGTGATCTGGGAAAATGACCAAACAAACCCATATCCCTCCTCCTCATGGTGTTGCTGATTGTACACATGGTGTGCTGCACTTGACCTCAGCCTTCTCCATGCTTCACATTCTGAAGGATGCCTAATACATGCACTTTCAGGTATCCAAAAATGAGTAAAAGCATCCTTGCTCCTTTTGTACTCCAAACACAAGCATATCAAATGCTTGTTTTCTCTGAGAGTGGTTTCTTTGGTATGGCAAGATCTCCTGCTGCTGCAGCACATGATGGCACACACCTTTAAAGACTGCTGGATCTAGGTCAGCCTGGTCTACATAGCCAGTTCCAGGCCAGTTGGGGTTATAGGAAACCCAGTCTCAAAAAACAAAAATTTCCTCCTAAAAGCTCACAAGTCTTGGCTTGATCACATGGGCACCTCTAGCTCATGAGCATAGAAGGAAGAAACTCTATATACACTCAGCTCAGGTGACTAAGCAGCCTCAAGGCACATAAGTCCTTTCTTGAATACTACTTTGGTACTGCCTCTGAATCACTTACCTGTATATAGGAAATGAAAGAATAACACATGGGCGTCAGATGAGAACCAGACAGCTTTACCTGTGGCAAAGGAGAAGGAAATGAACCTAACTAGCAATAAAATGTTTCCCCCATTGGGCCTTCTTATCTTCCAAGTCTCTACTTAAATGTCTGTGACTTCAGAGAGGCTTTGACTATACTAGCTGAAGTTACCTCCTGTGCTGGATAGCTTTAGTGTCAACTTGACACACCTGGGTTGAGGGAGCCTCAATTGGGGAATTGCCTCCATTGGACTGGCCTGGGGCCATGTCTGTGGGGCATCTTGATTCTTGAGAGATATGAGAGGGCCCAGCCCACTGTGGGTGGTACCACCCCTGGGCAGGTGGGCCTGTGTTGCATAAGAAAGCAGGCTGAGCAGAGGCCAGGGGAGCAAGCCAGTAAGCAGTGTTCCTCCATGGTCTGTGCTCCAGCTCCTGCTTCCAGGTTCTTGCCCTGAGTTCCTACCTTGGGCTCCCTGATGAACTGTGACCTGGGAGATGTAAGACAAACCCTTTCCTCCCCAAGTTGGTAGTGGTCGGTGTTTTGTCACTGTAATGGAGAAACAAACTAGTCCACCCAATATCAGGAAAGCTATTCTCAACTTACCAGCTTTTCCACAGTTTTTGGAATGCCTCTGGAGCTCTGACACACCTGGAGACACTAAACAAAGGATGCCCACATTTAGCAATGAGCCTATGGAATATGGTAAAAGTCCTAAAATTGCTCTGACTGTAGAAGAAAAGGAAAATTCATACAGAAGCCAAGACACAAAGCTTCCCTTTCCTTCTCCAGAGCACCTAAGTTTCCAAGATAATACCCAGTGGGTTTGCTTTTGGTGTGCTGATTGCTTTAAAAATTTGATTTGCTCGTTGCTTCAGACTGAGAGTTCTTGCATCTAGGAAACAAATTATCCTTTTAAATGTTAGTGAAGAGAACAGGCTCTTGGTGTTTCCACCATAGTAACTTAATGGCTACAATACATAGCTGGAGGTATACATTGTAGTGCACCCACTGTTGAGACAGTCTGCATCTTTCCTGGGTTGTCTGTGACTAAGCATTTCACCTACATCACTTATACAATCTAAACTACTTCCTGTCATCTTCTGAATTTATTGAAGACAAGAAAATTGCAAAAGCAAGGAAAGAGTTTTTGCTTTTTTGAGATAGGGTCTCCTTGTAGCCTCACTGAGATCTCATAGAGATCTTCCTGCCTCTGCTGCCCCTTGAGTGCTGGGATTAAAGGCATGTACCACCACCCCAGGTAAAACTCACATATCTGACAAAGGCTGTAAGGATGGTATATATTTTGCACAGGCCCTTTAATAAAGTATCCACACAGCTGCCCGATGGCAGGGCTGTCTGCACCAGTTCATGGAAGAATGTAACCAAAGTTCCCAGTTGCATGATAATGGCTTTCTCAATGAGAAGATTTGGTGGAACTTCTTGAGAAGCATCATCTTCTGAAGAGAAATGAAATTGGTGCATTTCAGACTTGTTTTCTAGTAGAAAAAAAGAACAAAAACAAACTAACCTGGGAAATTTAGTTTAAGAGCTCCACGTTTATGCAATAGTTCAAATTTAGATTTTGATTGACTTTGCTGCCATCATAAACTCTACCTGGAGTCATTTTACCTGACAGGGTTTCTAGGTTTGTTTGACTCCTGAGCTTGGTGATTAACCAGTCCACTTCTTCCAAGACCTTCTCAGCCTGACTCAGAACAAGTAACTGTGAAAAGAAAAAAAAACGCCTGGCATGGTTTACTACACACAGCTGCTGGGATAATAACAATCATGTAGGCCTAAGGACATAAGCCAATATAATGGACTCTTCAGATGGAGCAAGATGGAAAGAATGGCAAGGCTGTTTTCCATGGATTATGATCAACACTTACACAGACAGTGGGGGCAGCCATTCTCAAATTCACCATTGCAAAGTGGTTTGTTTTCTCTATCTCTACATCCTGGAAAGGGAAAAAAGTAAGACCTAATAGCAGTAAGGCCATTCCCCAAACCTTCATCCCCACACAGGATGCCGTACTGAAGGCTTGCTAAAGTACCTGGTCTATGTCTCCCAGCTGCCCATGTATATCCTGGGACAAGTCACGAAGCAAGGTGACAGGACTCTTATATAAAACATGCAGGCTGAAGAACAGGTTCATCAAGCTCTTGCAAAATGGGGCATCCTCTAGGAATAGGAAAGAAAGAAAGTTTGATACAATTATTGTTATGAAGCTTTTTCATATTGACCATTCTAATGAATGGAGAATCCCTTTTCTAAATAGTATTTGGTGATAGTGATTCTGTACAAAGCCTTCAGAACATGCAGCACAAAACTTACCTAGGCTGTTTTCTTTGCAAATCTTAGATGTCCAGGATAACATCTGCACAAACTAAACAAGAGGCCAGTTATTGAAGAAATAGGTTAAAAATACATATATCAGAACAGAAGAATCCTAGACTTTTCCTAGTTTAAGCAAATAACCTGCCAAAATATGTGCCTAAACTAAAGTGGTAATGTAAGAACAGCACAAAAGCCACAAATTATGAGAAGTAGTGACTTTTTTTTCACAGTACATGATTCTCATTAAGTACCAAAAGTACTTTGGTCAAATTCTTACTCGGAGCTTCCTCTGCTGCTACCATGGTGATCTGGGACTAAATCTTATATCCCCAAACTTCAGACATCTTTAAGGGCAGTGGGCTAGCAGAAAGGTATGGGAGAAGATCCTGGCCATAACAACACAGAAGAAGGGGGAAGGAGGAAGACGTAAAAGATCAAAAAAACAGACAAATTTTGAGTCAAGCATACTTGAGGAATCTGAAACAAGACTGCAGACACACAGCACTGAGATGCAGTGACATTTAAGTGTAGATGATTAAGGATTCAGTTTTGATTTGCTGGAGGGGAAAGGGATAAATTATGAAACTAACTAAAGCTCTTTATGAACTGATATTAAAAGATCTCCAAGCCACTATGTCAAATGAAATAAGCAAGATATAGACACAAGCTATTGTGTTAAGAATGGCAGGTTCAGAATGAGAATCTACATTCATATTGGCTTCCACAGGAAAAACTCTTGAAAGACACAGATAAAATTAACAGTGCTTATTTAAGAAGAACATATAGAGGAGCTGGAAAGATGGCTCGGCAGTTAAGAACATGGACCCAGAGGACCCAGGTTCGATTCCAGTACCCACATGGTGGCTAACAACCATCTGTAACTCCAGTTCCAGGGGAATCTGACACCCTCTTCTGATGTCTGCATGCACTGCATAACACAGATGCACTTACACACATGCAGGCAATACACTCGTACACACAAAAAAAGACATACTCTGAAGTTAAAAGGGAAGGACTAGTGGGGAAAAGCAGGTAAAATATTTTTCATCTATCAATCCTACCAAACTCAATTCATTTGCCCTCAACTCCCTTACCACACAATTCTTTCTTTTTTTCTATGGCAAAAGTAACAGTATGAATGAAGCTGAAAATGGGGCTGAATTATAGCAGGGATGGAGTAGAAAGAGAGCTTCTTTCAGGCTAACCTGGAACTAGGACATTAGGAAAATCAGGGCTGCCCTCCAATGCTCTAATACCCTAATATCCACAGGTTAATCTCTCAAAAGAGTAGCAGTTCCCAAGGCAAGGGCCCACATGAGGAGCCTTGGACCCTAGGGCTTTAACAGGACAGGGCAGAGATGTGGCTCTGACTCCCAGGGATACCCTTTACCATCATACAAGGATATTACTCCTGAATGGAACAGACCCATCAAACATGGACCTTCTCTCATTCCTTTGTGTGTGTGAATGCCCATGTGGATGGGCAATCTGAGTATTGTATGTGTATCTACACATAGATACAAACAATCCATCTCTGCAGTTACTTCTGCTTTGGGATTATGGTCACACTTCTTATCATTTGTTAAATTCTCTTCAAACGTGGTATTAGTTTTTTTGATGGGAAATTCAATTGCTGAATGTCAACTACCTTCATGATTAAAGCTCTTTCATCTTGGAAAAGGAGAAAACATCAAGAAACATTAAGACTGGGAAAGAACATCATGTTAAGAAGGCTATAGGCACCAAAGATAAACCTGTTTGTTTTCTATAGTATTTACAGTTTACCCTTGACCCTGGCCAAACAAAAACAGTATGTTCTTGCCCTCATATGGTTGTATATATTGTGGTAGAAATGCTATATAGGAAAAGACACATCCTGTAGTTCTTTTATGAACTTAGGTACATAGTTAGATTATTTTAAATAAGGCAGAATTCAAGAGGATATTTAGGTATATACTTTTGTTCTTTGAGATAAGGTTTCATGTAGTCCAGGCTGGCCTCAAAATTGAGGATGACTTTGAATTTCTGATCTTCCTGCCTCTACCTTCTGAGTGCTAAGATTACAAGCATGTACTCCCATACCTGATTTATACGGTGCTGGGGAATCAACCTACGACTTTGTATAGGCTAGACATGCTGTACGTTTGAGACAGGATCTCACTATGTAGCCCTGGTTAGCCATGAACTTGCTACGTAGACCAGCCTGGTCATGAACTCACAAAGATCTGTCTGCCTCTGCCTCCTGAGTGCTGAAGTTAAAGGCACCTGCCACCACTCCAGGCCTCTTTTTCAAGAGACACCTAGAAATAGACTTATGACACACTAACTTTGTCTTCTGAGGGATGCCAAATGGGACTGAATTAAGTATTATTACCTGAGGAGAAGTGGGCTCCAGCAGCTTGGACAAGTTGGTGAGAACAGTGACAAGCAGGAGGGCTTCTTTACTGTTAAAATCATCCTCTTCACTGCTAAGCAAATTCAACAAGGACCTCTGAGAAAGGAAAAATGTGCACATAGCATGAGCAGACATGTTTATATCAAGAGAGGAGAGACAGCTAGCCAGAAATTCTCATGACTGGGACAGAAAGATCTCAAGGCTTTGAAAGTCCAAGAGGTTAAAATCTGAAAATAAACCTAGACTGAACAGTAGTTTCCTGTTTTCAGCTATAAACCAGTGAAGTCTCTTGAAACTTAAGGACTGTTTCTCTTCCCATTCCCTGCCAAATATACATTAGGAATAAACTGCACACAATTTCTGGTTGCTCTCATCTGCCAGGAGCTTATCCACTGGCCTCAGGGTTAGACCATACCCCAAATTCAGCACTCCTGGCACTTGCCCTGTCAACTGAAATACTCTGGATTTGATTATTCATTTGTCAGTCTTCCCTACTATACTATAAGCTCCCAACAGAGAGCTTATAAGTCCTCCAGCAACAATTTCTAGAATACAGTAGGAATATTATAAAATATTTGTTAAAGAAATCATTATAATGCACAATCTCGATATTTTTACAACTACTAGTTAGAAAACAAAAAACCTACATTTCTTGAGGGGGTCCTGGCTGCCTCTTTATGTTACTTTAAACAATGATTCTTGATTCAATGAGTTTTGTAAGTTGGAATAGCTAAATATACATAAATATATTATCTTCATTCTAAGAGCTCTGACCTTGTCTAACTAGTTGGCCTTTTCCAAGGACCCTTAGATTTTAGCACAGCAGTTCCCTAAGGCTTCCTACCTGAAATTGTCGGATCTGGAATGCAGCTCTTTGAGTGACACTGACACCTGCATCTTCTCCCTCTTCTGTATCTGTGACATCTGGAAATGGAAAGAATTCTATCTTCTTTCAAACTTTTTTTTTTTTTTTGAGAAAGGGTCACAGTAAAATAACCCAAGCCAGCCTGGAACTTCCTATGTAGCCCAGACTGACCTTGAACCCTGCAATCCTTCTGTCTCTGTTTCCTGAATGCTGGGATTACAGGCCTTTTTTTTTTTTTTTTCTTTCTTCCCCCTTTTGGTAGTGGGGATTGATCCTAGGTCCCTGCACATGCTAGTCAAGCACTCTACCACTAAGCTGTATACCCAGCTCTCTTTTTATTTTTTAAGAAGGTCTAAGTTGGGGGTTGGAGACATGGCTCAGCAGTTAAGAGCACTGCTCTTCCAGAGGACACGGGTTCGATTCTCAGCACCCACATGGCAGCTAACAACCATCTGTAACTCCAATTCCAGGAGTCCGATACCCTCTTCTGACCCCCATGGGTGCACTTACACACATGCAGGCAACAAACTCATACACATTAAAAAAATAATAATAAAAAAGAAGGTCTAAATTGCCCAGACTAGCCTTGAACTCACTTTGTAGCCTAAGCTGGCCTTGAATTTGTGATTTGATTGCTTTAGCTGCCTAAATACCTGGGATTATAGGCCCACACCATCAGGTCTTTTTTTTTTTTTTAAGTTAAAAAGTAATTAAAGCCCAGGCATGGTGTTGCATGCCTTTAATCCGAGAATTTGGGAGGCAGAGGCAAGTGGGTTCAAGGCCAACTTGGTCCTCACTGGTTCAAGGCCAGACCAGTGAGGACTATATAGTGTGATCATCTCAAACAACAACAACAACAACTTTTGTTTTCATATGGCCTCACTTTGTAACATTTTCTACCCTGGAAACTCCTAGGTAGACAAATTTAGCTTCAAACTGGTGGCACTCTTCCTTTCTCTCCCAAGTGCTTGGTTTATAGGTATGTACCACCACACCCAACTTTTTTGGAGACTTTTAATATCTCAAATTTTATATATTTAACTTATTGAGGCGGAGTCTCATAGCCCCAGTACTATGATTCCAGTCTGGCCTCAAACTTGTAATCCTTCTGCCTCATAGTCTTCCTAATACTGGAATTACATGTCTGAGCCACCCACCATGCCTGGCGATGGCTAAAATTTTAGAAAGTCAAAAGGTCTAGAGACTGATTTAAATGTATTCTAAATTTCAATTTCTTAATACTGTATTCCATTTTCCAATCACTATTTCTGATCAAACACAATATAGTAAGTGCCAATCGTCAATCTACTAGATGTCACTCCTTAGCAGCATTTGAACTGTTTTCAGGTGTCCTCTGGTGGGTAAACTAATAAAATCAAGGGGTTCGGTCAAGCAATTTGACATTGAAATGCCTACCCAGAGCCCTGAGAAACTGCTGAATCTTAGGCTGATAGAACTGCTGCACGGCGCTGAGTATCTTCTGCAAACCCTCCAAGCACAGCAGTGAGATGCTCTTTCCTTTCTCTTTCTTTCCTGACTCTTCCACAGGAGTGGGAATTGAAGTGTATCTCCATAGCAAGACCCTAAAGTGGGGAAAAGTGGTTTTGTTTTTAAAGACAGGCTCATGAAGGTCAATTTATATATAGTAAACTTTATGTTATATAACTTATTTATAATTTATAATTTATTTAATTCTGTGAATTAAAAAAAATTATGCAGGGGGCTGGAGAGGTGGCTCAAAGGTTTGAGTACTAGCTGCTCTTGCAGAGGACCTGCTTTCAATTCCTAGCACTCACATGGCAGCTAACAACCATCTGTAACTTCATTTCCTGGAAAATTGGATGCCTTCTTCTGACCTCTGCTGGTGCTGTACAAAAGAGGTGCACTTACATACATGTAGGTAATACACTCACACACAAAAAATAAAAATAATATATTTTTTAAAACTTACACAGATGTGAAATCTTTCTCACAATTTAGGTATTTCTGTAATTCCCTGATAGTTGATTCTCTCTTCCTTCATTTCCCAGCAACTACTGATCTCATTTCTATCCCCACAGTTTTATAAAATATATGAAAATGGTATAACGCAGTATATAACTCTAGAGCCTGATTTTTATAATCTAGCATATGCTTTTCAGATTTGTCTATCTTGTTGCATATATTAGTTGTTTCCTTTTTGTTTCATTACTCAGGTTGGTCATTGAATGGTCATTCATTACAGAGTCTCATTACCCAGGTTGGTCTTGAACTTTCTGTGTATAGCTAAAAATGAACTTGAACTTCGATCCTCCTGGTGCTAGGATTATAGGCATGTGTCACCAAGCCTGGTTTTATGCACTGCTAGAGATTGAACCCAGGATCTCTTACATGCCAGACAAGCACTATATTCTCCGAGCTATATTCCCAGCCCCGATCCATTTTTATACTCGAACAGTATTCTGTTGTGCAAATGTACCACAGCCTGTCCATTCACGAGTTTTTTCATCCATCTGTTGATGGCCATTTTAGTTCTGGATTTTTCTATTATATATAAAACTGCTATGACCTTTTGTGCACTAGCCTTTATGTGAATAGTTGTTTTCAATTATTTTAAAAGTGGCATGAGCAGATCATATGGTAGTTGTATATTTAGCTTTTTAAGAAATGTGTATGACATATACAGGTGCTCTGCCCACAAGTTCAGGTATGCAGGCTAGAGGGTAGACCTTGGATATCTTCCTCTACCACTCCTCACCTTATTTTTTGAAACAGTCTCTAACTGAATCTGGAGCTTACCTTTTTAGCTAGACTGGCTGGCCAGTAAATCCTGGACTCCACTTGTCTTCCCTGCCCCCCAACAGGCACTGGGGTCACAGATGCACCTGCCATTGTGCTCAGTTTTTACATGGGTACTAAGGAACTCAGGTTCTCATGCTAGTACAGAAAGCTCTTGATGCCCTGAACTATCTCCCCAAATTTGCTTTCTATTCTGACTCTTTCCATTCACTTAATCACGTGGAAGCAGCTTCAAGTTTGCAATCTTACCCAGCAGCAAATGAACAAATTCCTTGAAAACTCAACCAAGAAGAAATAGGTAACCTGAGCAACTATATTTCAACTAAATTGAATTTGTGGTTCAAATTTTCCTTAAACTCCCAACCAAACATTTATAGTACCAATTCCGTGTAAATTCTTCTAGAAAATAGGATAGAAGAGAACTCATTGATATGACCAGCATTACCCTGAAAAACTGAGGGAAGAAATTAAAACAAAACTATGCACAGATCAATTTCCCTTATGAATATAGGTGCAAAAACATAGTTGCAAAAATTTCTAACTAAGTCCAAAAATTTATGAGAAACATAATATAATTAAGTGGGATTTTTTTCTCCAGGTTTGCTCATAATTTATAAACCAGTCAGTGTAATTTACCTATCAAGAGACCATGGGATAAAGCCATATGGATCATTTCAGTAGGTATATAAAATAAGAATTCAACATAAATTCATGATAAATATTCCTCAGTAAAACAGGAATAATAAAGTATAGGAGAATTTCAGTTTGAGGAAGGCAGTCTACAAAAGCATACAGTTAACATCATACATGATGATGAGATATTGAATATTTTTCCAATTTTTCTGTTAGAAGGTCCTAGCCAGTGAAATAAAGTAGCAAAAAGAAACAAAAAGCATCCAGACTTGGAAGGAAAAAAAAAAAAAAACTTTATTCATAGAC